AGCGACTGCCTTTGGCTCAGGTCATGATCCTGGAGTCCCGGGATCGAGTCCCACATCGGGCTCCCTGCTCGGCGGGGGGGTCTGCTTCTCCCTCTGACCCTCCTCCCTCTCGTGCTCTCTGTCTCTCATTCTCTCTCTCTCAAATAAATAAATAAAATCTTTAAAAAAAAAAAAGAAGAAGAAGAATCGTACATTATTTGTCTTCTTTTGACTATCTTATTTCACTTAGCCTCATGTCCTCAAAGTTCACCCATGGTGTAGCATTGTGTCCAAATTCCTTCCTTTTTAAATATTCTACTGTGTGTATACACCACATTTTGTTTAACCATTCATCTGTGGATGGACACTTGGGTTGCTTCCATCTTTGGGCTATTTTGAATAAGGCTGCGATGAACATGGGTGTGCAAATTTCTCTTTGAGTCCCTGATCTCAGTTCTTTGGGTCATTTACAGTTGGATAATTCTCTTCGTATTTTTTTGAAGAACTGCCACACTATTTTCCACAGCAGTGGCCCCATACATATTACATTCTCACCAGCAGTGCATAAGGGTTCCATTTTCTCCATGTCCTCCCCAAGACCCGCTGTTTCCTGTGTTGATAATGGGCCTCCTAATGGATGTGAGATGGTAACTCACTGTGGTTTTGGCTTCCATTTCTCTGATGATTAGCGATGTTGAGCATCTTTTCATGTGCTTTTGGCAACTTGTATATCCTCTTTGGGGAAATGGTTTTTCAAGTCCTTTGCCCATTTTCAAATTGAGTTATTTATTTCTTTGTTCTTGGGTGTTAGGAGTTCTCTATATATTCTGATATTAATCCCTTACGAGATTTGCAATGTGCAGATATTTTGTTCCATTCCATGGGTTGCCTTCTTTACTCTCTCGGTAAGTGTCCTTTGATGTACAAAGTTCTTAGTATTTTTTAACGTTCCAGCTTTCTTTGTTTTTTAATTCCAGTATAATTGACATACAGTGTTATATTAGTTTCAAGTGTACAGTATAGTGATTTAACAATTCTGTATATTACTCAGTGCTCATTGTGATACATGTCCTCTTAATCCCCTTCATTTATTTCATTTATCCCCCCACCCACCTCCCCTCTGGCAGCCACCAGTTTGTTCTCTATATTTAAGAGTCTGGGGGTTTTTTTGTTTGTCTCTTTTTAAAATTTGTTTTGTTTCTTAAATTTCACATATAACTGAAGTCATGTGGTATTTGTCTTTCTCTGACTGACTTATTTCACTTAGTATTATACCCTCCGGGTCCATCCATGTCATTGCAAATGGGAAGATGTCATTCTTTTTATGGCTGAGTAATATTCTGTTGTGTATATATATATACCCCACATCTTCACTATCCATTCATCTATCCATGGACACGTGAGTTGCTTCCCTATCTTGGCTATTATAAATAATGCTGCAGTAAACATAGGGGTGCATGTATCTTTTCAATTCAGTGTTTTCCTCTTCTTTGGGTAAATACCCAATAGTGGCATTACTGGTTAGTTCTATTTTTAATTTTTTGAGGACCCTCCATACTGTTCTCCACAGGGGCCACTCCAGTTTGTGTCCCACTAACAGTGCATGAGCGTTCTTTTTTCTTCACATCCTCAAAAGTTCTTAATTTTGATGAAGTCCAGTTTGTCTCTCTCTCTCTTTTTTTTTTTTTCCTGCCCATGCATTTGATGTCATATCCAAGAAATCGTTGCTAAACCCAATTTGCTGAAGCTTTTTCTCTATGTTTTCTTCTGTTCTGGGTCTTATATTTGGATCTGATCCATTTTGAGTTAATTGTATGGTGTTAGGTCAGGGTCCCACTTCATCCTTTTGCATGTGGATATCTAGTTTTCCCAGCACCATTTGCTGAAAAGATTTCCTTTTCTCATTGAATGTTCTTGGCCACCCTTGTCGAAAATTATCTGACATATGCAAGAGTTTATCTCTGGATTCTCCATACTACTGTATTGGTCTATATGTCTGTCTTTATGCCAGCACCACATTGTTGTGATTACTTTAGCTTTGTAGTAAAAATTGACACCAGGAAGTTTGTTTTCCAATTCTCCCAGTTTGTTTTTCCTTCTGTGTATCTGTCCAAGTAAATAGCATCACCATGCTCCCAGTTGCTAAGACAGAAATCAAGGAATAATTCTTGTCTCCTCCCTCTTTATCTTCTTGTCTAGTGCACCATCAAATTCTGTCAATTCTGTCACCTTCATTCTGTGTAAAATCATCCTTTCCTCTCCTTCTTCATTAACGATGTTTAGCCTTTGACATCTCTTGCCTGAACATCGATTTTCTAACTCATCTTCCTGTCTCTTATTCTGTCTCTTTGCTCCATACACCTGCCAGAATGAGTTTCATAAAGTGTAAATCTGGTCACGACACTCTATTTTAATGAGCTTCCTTCTTCACCTGGCCCCACCAGTTTCTCTCCTTTAATACACTCAGTTCCCTAGTACCTGCCCTACTACTTGAGGTCCCTTTCACTGGTTATTCTTGCCTATGATTTTCTACTAGATGCCCTTGATGCACTTAGCACCAAGGCAAAATTCAGTCACATTCAAGAGCTTATGGCCATTTCAAGCTTTCCCCAGCATTTTTCAGTGTAAAAATATATTTTTTTAATTTTTAATAAAACCAGACTACCCAAGGTTGTCACTTGAAAGAGAATATTCTTTTGAAGTTGGAGGGATCTTTCTCTGACCCCTGCTATTTAGTATCCTCTGGGGAACATTTTGCTGAGTAACCCCAGTGTTCTTAACAGACAAATATGCATAGAATAACTGGGGGAGAAGGAAAGAAGGTATCTCATTCCAATGAGTTTGTGGGTCTTGGCCAGATAAGTATCATCTAGACCAGTGAAGTTTTATTATTTACCAAGACTTCCCATAGCCTTGCCTATCACATGCATCACTGTCACTGTCACATCCCTGTCACATGGACAGGATCTCAGAATATTTTCAACATCGTTTGTAGGCAGTCAATGCCAGTTGCTCAGAGCTGGCAAGGAGAATGAAACTCATTGCCATTTGTTTCTGTTGTTTACCCATAGTGTGTGCTTTCTGAGATCTACTGAAAAGCTACAGAACTGATCCCTAGGGTCACTTCTGTCCCTGCTACCCATGCCAGTCCCTCCAATATTTAGTGATCACATGGCTCAATTATAAGATGTTAGAGCTAGATGAGGATATTTTAATCCAAATTAAGAGAAAAACAAACCCAGTAAAGTTTCCGGGCTAAAATGTATTGTTTAAACTGATGTTCTGTGCTGCTTCATTAAATGTGTTGCTGCATTTCTCTTCATAGGTGAGAAGATGCTCCTGTGCAGTTTGGGCTCAAGTGAAAGGTAAAACCACTTTCTGCGCAAGCATCCTGTCTTTTTTTCTCCTGTCCAGTCTGCAGCATCAGGTTTATGTTAATGAGAGTTCTTTTTAAGTTGTCACAGGTGACCGAAACCCATCTCATACTAGTTTAAGCAAAAAGCCATAGCTGAAAAGGATGGGGGGTGGGGAGCTTATGGACGTAGCCCCAGAGGGGCATCACCAGGATTCCAGGAACTGACACTTGGGACTTGACACCATGAGTGGGACACTCTGTCTGTGTCTCTGCTTTCTGTTTCTGAGTTGGCTTCATTTTCTTCTACAATAAACCATGCGATGGAGAGGGATGGGCACCAGCTGCCCAGTTTAGCAACTTCAGTTGGGAACAGAGGATTTTTCAATTGAGGGAAAGAATCTTTCCTCCTAGATTAAGTGACTATCCGTGGGATGACTAGTACCCCTCATATGGTACTATATAGGAACTACAAACAGCCTGCCTGGGATTTTGGGCTTGGATTATGACTGGTTGAGGGCAGATCAGTGTGATTGACAGACACACCAGGATTGCATTGAGAGGCGGACATGATCCCCATCAGAAAAAGAAGCACAGAAAAACATGTTGGCAGACCAATACAAAGAGCCACAACAGTCCCCTACTTTCAGCCATTTAGCTGCTTAGCATGTGCACACACATATGTGTATACTTTTTAAAAAAAGATTTTGTTTATTTATTTTAGAGAGAGGGAGAGAGCAAGAGAGAGAGTGTGTGGGGCTGGGGAGGGGCGGAGGGAGAGGGAGAGAGAGTCCTAAGCAGACTCCGTGCTGAGCTGGGAGCCTGACGTGGGGCTCCATCCCATGACCCCAAGATCACGACGCCAGACGAAACCAAGAGTCGGGCGCCCCACTGCACCACCCAGGCGCCCCCACATATACTTTTAGGAAAAACACCCATTATGGAAGAATTATCCTCTGTACAACCAAAAGTGGAACTTGATTGGAAGACAACCCAGAGGTGGGTCTGTTACTGCATCCAGCTCCAAGACCAGGATTCCTGGCGACGGTCCATTGCTCTCGATCCAATGCAGGTGGACTTCTCATGATCCGATGGCAGTCGGTGACTAAATGCCAAATGTAAACATTCCCAAACCACAGTCTGTAACATGAAAGGGGGAACTGGACAAGCACAACAAGCACTTTCTTTTAGAAAGGAAGAAAAGATAAAGTGCATTGCAGTGGACAGGGGCCCCAGAACAATGACCACATCCTGCTGGCTGGGAAAAGCAAGCATCCCCTGGCTGGCAGCAGAGTGAGTCACTTGGTCACTTAGTTGGGCTGCCTCAGTCTTTTCCTGGGAAAGTACCCTGGCCCTTTCCTCTAAAGCTGTCCATGCATGAGAAGCAGCAGGGAGGAGCTCTGCCGAGTGCTCAACAGCCTCAAACTTACCCACGCGGGCAGCTGTCCAGGTGGGAGAGCTGCCTCGGGGATTGAGCAATCGCAGCTCTGTCTGCCAGACGTGGGATTTCCCTGGCAGTACGTTTCTTTCAACCAACAGGCAGCCAGCCAGCCAGTGGATTTGATTCCCAGGGATTCCATGAGTTTGTAGCTAATACCAGAAATCTTGTCAAGTTTATGACCTCTGAATCTGGACCTTTTCTTTGTGGTTTATGAGTCCTAGCAACAGCCTGAGGAATTTTGCTCTTAGACTGGAGCATCAGTTTAACCCCTTACATCCTGCCCCTCACCTCAGAGCAGCAAGAAACAATAGGCTGGGGTGGTAAGGAAGTGCCCACATAACCCTGCTTCCAGAAGGATTCCAGCAAAGGGCACTTTACAGTGGGGGATCTGTTACCTTGTCAGCAGAGGGTGCTTAGCAGGAAATGATTGGGAGGGACCTAGAGAATTAGGCTTCCTTCATTTATCTGCTTATCTTCTAATCTTATTTCCCATCTTTTTATCTCTGCTCACACCAACTTCCATAAGAGCAGAGGACATGGCTTTTCTACTGGGCAGGGCACATTACCTGACCATCAGCCATCTTGGATTGCGGTTGCCAGGCGGCGAGGGTCTCCCCCACCCCACGCCTCCACTTTCATGAGATATAACTTACATAACATTGAGGTTCATTTGTACAGTGTGATGATTTGATTTGTATTGCGAAATGATGACCTAAATAAGGTTAGTTAACACCTCCATCACCTTACATAATTACCGTGTATATATTTGTGTATGTGTGAACATTTAAGATCTACTCTCCTAGCAACTTTCAGTCATATAATACAGTATTGATAATTATAGTTACCATGTTGCACATTAGATCCCCAGTACTTAATTTATTTTATAACTGGAAGTTTGTACCCTCTGGCCAACATCTCCCCACTTCTCTCCACCCCCCAGACCCTGGCAACTACCATTCTATTCTCTGTTTCTATATAGAATTCAGCCTTTTTAGATTCCTTGTATAACTATGATCATATAGTATTTATCTCTCTCTGTCTGACTTATTTTACTTAGCATAATTAGTGAGGGTCTCCCTTCACAGAGATGTATGCTCTTACACTAATGGGTGCAGATAGGCCTAGCTTCCTGTCTTGGAATTTAAGTGAAGACCACAAGAAACAACCACATGTTCCAGCATTTGGAAATTTTTCAGCCAGTGCATTCCCTGAGGCTCTAAGGGTGGGAATGCAGTTCCCACAAAGAAAAGAGGTGCTTTTATCTGAAGAATGGAGATGTGCAAGCCTCCTGGACAGGCTCAGAAATAGCTTCCAGAATCCACTGGTTTCAGCAGCTGTTTCATATGATTAGCAAACACTCTAACTGGGTGGAAGAAATGGCCAAAGAGCTGGCTACTGTGAAGTTAACAGGAAGGATTTTGCTTTGGAAATAGAATCTAAGTGGCTTTTGGTAGTGCCTTCTTTACCCTCCTCAGCCTAAGAAGCAGTGTTGAAAGAGAGCACAAACCTTTGAATTCATACTATTGGAAGGCTCTGGAGATAATAGAGAAGCCCACTGTTTTTTAAAACGCTGAAGGCAATTCTGATATAAATATCTACGTGTCATGCACTCACCTCTGGCAGTCCCCTTTTGCAAAAATGTCGGAGACTGCCATCTCAGAAAGTAATTTGGAGAGAACTAGGATCCAGATTAGTCCTGAACTTGTTCAAGTTCATCTGTGCCAAGCAACTGCCCCATTCTCACCTTTGCCCAGGAAGGAATTCTGCTATTTACCTTATGCAGATTGCCCCTAAAAGAGCTTTGTGATGACTACCAGGAACCAGCAGTGGGCTTGAGGGGAAATGCAGAGGCCTGGGCTTCCTTCCTTGAGCCTTGCTACTCAACAGCCGAGTGTCTTTGAAATTGTATTTAACTTGGCTGGTTCTCAATTGCCTCTTACTGAGATCTCTCAGATCCCTTCCAGCCACGAAGTACTGGCTCTTTGATTTCTTGAGTCACAAAGCAAGGTCATTTGATATGCGTGAGATGATCACAAACTGTATTCACAGAACACTCTTCAGTCATAGGGGTGAAAGCCCTGAGTCATTAGTGACCATTCCCCTTTCCCTTTCAGCCCTCATTTTACACCTAGGGTGTGCCCATCTCATGTCTGGAGTCACCCCCTGAGCACAGGCCTTTATATCTGTAGCATAGATGACTGGCAGAGCCTCCTTCTTCCTCTCCCACCATGGTGTTCAGGGGCTCGTTCACTCCAGCCTACACATCTGACTCATATTTCTAAACTGCAGCGCTGATTTGATTACTTCCCCTGGTGGTTCTTCCAGAGTTCTCCATTAACATTTTAGACTGGTTTCTAAGGCCTCGGTTTGACACCAGCTTACCCTTCTGGTTGCCTCTCATCTTCTCCATTCAAAGTGATGTGTCCGCTCTTCTCTGGTTATGGTCCTTGCTTACTTTCCTTTGTGTCTTTGTTCATACAATTACCTATTTATTTCTACCTGGCTTGCCCTATGACTTTCCTGTACTCTCTGTTTATTAGCTTATTACAATCCCACCTGTTTGCCAAGGTTAAAATCAAATGCTATGTCCTCCATGAAGCTTTTTTTATTTCCTCAGTGGGGCAGGATCTCCCTCCCTCCCTCCCTCCCTCCCTCCCTCCCTCCCTCTCTTTTAGCCATTCTGCCATACTATAGTGCAACTGGTGCACTTGTCTTTTCTTACTAGATTGCATACCCCTGAGGGAGAGCATTTGAAGAAGGGGGGGCAGTGCTTGGTGCACATTGGTACCTAATCCGAATTTAGTGAATTGGGTTGGAGGATTACTGGTCAACCAGCAGTAGAGTCGGATGAAAAATGAAGCACAGTAAGTGCAATACTTAAGTGAACCAGAGAAGATGGAAGCCTAGTGTGTACGTATGTGTTTGTATATGCTGTGCACTTGTATGTATACACACATACACAAACACACACGCATACTTTAAACCTTCATCATTGTGGCTGGGAGAATTATGATACAGCCTCACAAATTCCTGGCCACTGGTATACACCCACCTTCACTCAGTTACTCATTCAAAGGCTATGCTAAGTGTTGCTGAGAAAGGATTTGAAGAATTAAGGTCCCGAGAAGGGAGATTATCCAGATGCACCTGACCTTCACATGAGCCCTTTAAACTGGATCTAGAGGTCAGAAACAGGAGATTGGAGATTCAAGGGTGAGATGGATCCAACATGAATAAGGGTTTCTCCTGCTGTCTTTGAAGGTGGAGGGAACCACATGGCAGGAATGTGGGTGGCCAGTAGGAGCTGAGTGGCTGATGGCTGGCAGCCAGTAAGAATATGGGGACCTCAGTCCTACAACTGCAAAGAATTTGGAAGCAGATTCTTCCCCAGAGGCTCCAGAGGGAAATGCAGCCCACTTGACACATTGTTTTCAGCCTTGGAAGACTCTGAGCAGAGGACCCAGTCACAATGTGCCTGAACTCCTGGCCCACAGAACTGCGAGCTAATGAGTGGGGGCTAGCTGCTAAGCTGCACTAGCAAATGAATTCAAAAATGTTGCTGATTCATCAGGTGTTACATATCTCTAAATTAAATTAATCTCTTACTTTGATCTCCTTTGTCATCGCCCACTCTGCATGGAACTCAAGTGAGGAGACCTTAGGATAGCAGAAGAAGAATTGAACACACTAACTAGACGTCATGGTGCAAATTATTTGTTCATCCATTTGGAGAACAGGATTATGGCTTTCAGGAAGTGACCCTGCTCGTATAAATTCATGAAAAAATGTCGACAGCCACAGGAAGTTCTGAAGCTGTCCGGAAGCTTGCAAGTAGGCATGGAGTCTTTCTAACTTGCTCTTCAGCACCTGTGGTATTTGCATTAGTGGAAGAGTTAAAAGATAAGCCCAGAGAAGCCCTGTCACGCCTCACGAACACTGTACCTCCTCTGGGAGTCACCCTGAAGAGAAAGGCAGCGTTTAACCTAATGGATTTACTCTCTCCAAGAATGAGTCACTGTGATATAACACATGATTCATCGAGTTTCCGAAAGAATATTCTACAAGTGATTCAGAAGAAAAATAAGCATGGTTTTATAGCATGAAACCGTGAAAGGAAGGGTAACCAGAAGACGGCAAAGCTCTAAAAAATGTAATTTGAATTGGCCAGTTGTAAATTTTCTCAGTGAGGAATTAACAGGGAAAGTCCCTAAAGAAATCTTGTGTGGCTACACTGTGAGGACTCTGGGTTGGACAGACTCAGATTTTCACGGAGTACATACACAAAGTAGACCAAGAGATCAATACCAGCAAGAATCATGCCTGAAGCCAAAACCCAAGTCATGTTATGCAGAATAATTAAAAAGAAAAAGATGATTTTCCAATATTTACATCCAGAGTAAGGAATAGCTGGGTGGGCCCATTGCTTAGGGTGAATGATGTCCTGCTGGTGGATGGTCAAGAGAAAGGTCCATCAACTCCAACTTTGCTTCTGTCCTGTTGGTTTGTGGGGGGACATTTTCAAAGCAAGAGAAGAGCTAACTGCTTCACATAAATTAAAGCCTTTTGACCTGGATGAAGCATATTCTAGCAGGTTCATACAGTTTGCAAGTGAGATGGTGAACAACTGCAGGTGATCTTTAAGAGCAAACTTAAGTCGACCAGAGATGAGCAAAGAACGTGGAACTTTGTACGAGGAAGACAGTTTGCAAAGTGTAGTTGATGATAACTTGTGGTCAAGGGCCAGGCAAGATCTTTTAGGAGGTGGCTCTGTGGTAGAAAGAGCAGATCCCAGCAGTGAGCATTATGGTTCCTGCATTAATAAATGCACTTAGACAATTTGTACCTGCTTGAGATATTTTAGATAAGGATTCACTTACCCTTTGTTCTAACTCTTTTAGGTTTCCATTTAAGTCTTTAAGCTGTCTGGATTTTATTTTGGCATATATAGTATAAGCTCTAATGATCAAAATCACTTTATTCTAAATGGTCAGCCAATTTTCTCAACACGAATTATGAATAATATGTCATTTCCCCTAATGATTTGAAACAGTAACAAACAACAATAATGAATCATAGCTGACATTTGCCAGTTGCCTCCTGTGTCCAGGGCACAGTTCTTTTTTTTTTTTTTTTTAATTTTTTTTTTTTTTAAAGATTTTATTTATTTATTTGAGAGAGAGAGAATGAGAGACAGCACATGAGAGGGGGGAGGGTCAGAGGGAGAAGCAGACTCCATGCCAAGCAGGGAGCCCGATGCGGGACTCGATCCAGGGACTCCAGGATCATGACCTGAGCCGAAGGCAGTCGCTTAACCAACTGAGCCACCCAGGCGCCCGTCCAGGGCACAGTTCTAACAGGACTTACCTCATTTATTTCTCACAATAACCTTATAAGGTGGGTACTATTATTATCATTCCCGTGTTACTAGATCATCCCTCGGTGGGGCAGTTGAGGCACAGAATGGCTGAATAACTTGTCCAGAGTCCACAGTTAGGGTGTTCAAATACAGACTTGGACAACCTGACTTGGAAATTATTTGATGTACATGTGTTTGTTTCTACACTATTTTGTTCCAGTGTATTCATCCCTATGCTGATACTGCACTGTTTTAATAGGTAGTCATTCAAGTCACTCCCCCAATTTTTTCTCTTCTAATTTCTAGTTTAACCACAGCTCCTCCTTCTATTCTGTAGTATGGCTTCTTAAAATATCAAAGCCTTTTTCTTCTGAATCCTAAAGGTAGCCAAACAATATAAGCCATGTTTTTCTGGAAAGTCTCTTGACAACACTTTCTGAGGTAATGGGTTTTTCAGAGCTTTTTAGCAAGAAGTGTATTCCCCGGCTGCTTTTGCTGGTGCCAGCTACCCTGTGAGAGAATAGAACCAAACTGCTCTTCAGCTGGTTGAAGAGATGGAGCGGTACCCTTCAATGCAACTCCCTGCAACGGTGGAAAGGTTTTAAAGCGGTGCTGTCCAAGATGGTAGCAACCAGCCACATGAGGCTACTGGGCACTTGAAGTGTGTACTTGAAATTGAGCCCTTGAGATGATATGATCAAGAAACTGAATTTTTAATTTAATTTAGTTTAAACCTAAACTAACTAATTTAGGTGTAAACAGCCACATTGAGGCCAGTGGCTACGGTGTTGGATAGCACAGATTTGGTGATGAGAGAGTTAAGGAGCAGGAACTCTTCTCGGATGAGCTTCATTTGCTGCCAGGGAAGCGAGTCATCTATGTTTCGAGGGTCTCACGTCCAGGGGCTACTATTTTTCCTCTCAAGCCCCTCCTCCTTACTTAGCAGATCTTTGCTTTTGCTGTTTTCAGCTCTTCCTAGGCAGTACTGGATGCCCCACAGGGCAGACTAAGCATATGCCCGGGGCATCAGTAAAAGGAGGGTACCGAAAAGTGAAATAATTTCATATTCCGACAGTGACAACCATGACAAATTATCTGGCAAAATTTGGACTTAGTTGCACTTCCTTACGCTTCTTCCATGGCTGGGCAGTGTTTTCCTTTTTTAAATCTATATATGCAACGTCAGCCCCCAAGGTCTTTTCAATGTCTGGTGGCACCATTGCATGCAGACCTTTGTTCTTTTAAAGAGGAGCTATCCCATCATCATCAGCCTCTGCAGGAAAGGGCAGGGCCTGCACCCCCAACTCCTGAGGGGGAGTGTGACCTGCTCTGCTGTAGACAGAACTGGATTCAGATCGGCACTGGGAAAGCATGGTGTTGTGGTTAAAAGCAAAGATGTTGAAGCCAGACAGCTCGGGTTTGGATCCTGACTCTGTTGTTTATTAGCTGTGTGATCATGGACAAGTTGCTGAACAGCTCCATGCCTCGGTCCCTCATCAGTAAAATGGGAATAGTACTCAGTGTGTTATTAAGCCAGGCACTATTATTGTAATACCTGTGTGAGTACTAGGTAGTTAGGAGAAGTCATTAGAACAGTGTTTGGTATATCGTAAGTGCTAAATAAGTTGTTTGCAAATTAAAATGAGACCTTTGGTGTAGAACATGATGCTCTGATTCAGTCAGCTGGCCCAAATGTGCAACTCAAGTGCGGGTGTTTTTCAGTCTATAGCAAAAGATCTCCCTGCAGTCAACATATGATACACCCCCAAATAGAGCATATGTATGTCTTTCAGAGAGCTTTTACATTAATTTTCTTTTTTTCTTTTTTATTTTTTTAAAAAGATTTTATTTATTTATGTGAGAGAGAGAGTGAGAGAGAGAAAGAGCACAAGAGGGGGGAGCAGGAGAGGGAGAAGCAGACTCCCTGCCGAGCAGGGAGCCCGATGCGGGACTCGATCCCGGGACTCCAGGATCATGACCTGAGCCGAAGGCAGTCGCTTAACCAACTGAGCCACCCAGGCGCCCTAATTTTCTTTTTTTAAAAAAAGATTTTATTTATTTGAAAGAGAGAGAGAGTGCGCGTGTGCACAAGTTAGGGGAGGGGCAGAGGTAGAGGGAGAAGCAGACTCCCCACTGAGCGGGGAGACTGATGCCGGGCTCGATCCCAGGATCCCAGGATCATGACCTGAGCCGAAGGCAGACACTTAACCGACTGAGCCACCTAGGCGCCCTATGTTAATTTTCTTACTTTATCCTCATGGCAACCTGCTGAGCAGAGCGAGGAGGTACTATCCTTGTTGGTGTGTCGGGAGAATGACAGATGACTCCATCCATCAGAGAGGATTCATTTGCTATATTTGACCATTGGAGCTACCTATCACTTTTGGAGCAAAAGTCCAGGATGACTTCTTCCTCAATGCAAAGGAAAACTGCCCATAAAAACTTTCAGTGCAGTTGACTGAGAGAGGACCAATACAAGCAACACAATTCGCTGTATTTGTATGCACAGCAAGATGAACTTTTTTATCCCTTGTAACTTGAATGTGGCCTGTGTTTCCATTTCCTTTCAGAAATACCCCGGGACTGTGTTTTCTTTAGGTCCTACACCCTCAGGGCCAACTCAGGGGACACAGAGGCACTCTGGGCATTCTTGGGATGGTTTGTTAAATGGGGCCAAGCTCTGGGTTAGACTGGAGTGAGCACAGGTGCACGTGTGCCTCCCAGGAGGGCCATGATTGCGTGCTGTGGGCTCAGTGTGTGGTTTTGTCCCGCAGATTCGTCATTCGTGCTGCAGCAGATGGTGGGCGTCGGGCTGGGCTCCATGGCCGTTGTGATTGTTCTCGCATTCCTCTCCTTCTCAGCCGTGTGGTATGTGAGACTGTCATTTTTGAGAAATGAGTGGAATGGCGGAAGGATGGGGTTGGAGTCATGAAGAACAGCTGGGACTGAGGAGGGTCAAAGGGGCTGTGGGTAGAGGTCATCCTGGGCTCAGCACTCAGCAGGTGAGAGGCATGAGTAGCTCTACACCTCGGGACGGGGCGGGGGGTGCCCTTCTGGTGCAGAGAAAGAGCAGGGTCAGTGACGGCTGCCCTGGCTACTCACAGAGTGGTGGATGATCTCCCACGCTGCTTCCCATGAGGGTACGTGAGCAGTACCTACAGATGCACCAAGGGAAAACCAAAGTGTGTCAATGGACTCTTTTCCTCCTCCATGTCTAGATTGCAGATGGGCGCTACGTGTGGGGGATGCAGTGCTGCTGGGGGCAGGTGTAATGACAGCCTCTCAGGTGCCTGCCTACACAGAGGCCCCGTGTGGCTTCCATCCAGGTGTGTCTGGGTCTGCAACTTTTTCCATCCCCAGCTTGGCCCCATTTCTGGATTCAAGACGGTGAATACCTCTGTGGAACCCCCCAAGAGGAGGAAGCTCAGGAATTGCTGACGTCTTCTCTGCCTACTACACAACCAGTTCTGTGTCCGTGTACTTGAGACCCTTGATAGATAGTGTAATATTGACCACAGGCTACAGATCATGTGGGTTGGACCTTGGTCTTCCTCTGAGTGATTCCTGAGAGTCAGCTCTTCTGGAAATTGAATGCAAGAGAGTCTCTGCACCTTCCTTTATAGCATCTCTGGATTCATTTGGAATCATCCTTTTACAATGAGCAATGAGACGGACTTAAGTTTGGGCTAGAATTTGCCTTTATGAAGGAGGCCATCGAAAAGGATAGAGATCATTGACAGAGGCAACTTGTCAAACATTTTAGAAGCAACCCCTTTCCTACAATTAATTGACATACTAATAGAAAGTATACTAACCTGGCCACTCCAGTAAGTTTCCTGCAATGTCTGTTAGGCAGCGTTGCTTTGATACAGATCCATGGGTCTTACAGGTATTCAAAAGCCATAAGTTTTCATTCAAATAAAAATACTCTGTCAATTTAGACAGTTCTTCTCTTCCACACCAAAGTTTATAGCAGTCTTGGCTAACTTTTTTCATTACTCTCTCTTAAAAATGCCCTTGTCTTCCTTTAGATTGGGTGCTCATGTAGTAACAATGGGCTGAAACACTGTTAAGCCCATGGCCAGCGTCCATGTGTTTACAGGGAAGGGGGAAGACTGTGAGTGATGTGATCTTCCCCTTTACCTACAGCCTCAGTGACAATGGCTGTTACTTTACCATGAACCATGACACATTAGATGTAAGCGGTCCTGGGCCCGCTCTCAACTTGCTGAATTTACAGATGGGCGTATTAGATTGGACTTTTAAAACCTCAATCAGTGTTCTTTAACTTTCCTCCCTAACTGATGGTGTGACTCCAAGGCTCAGTAAGAAACGAATGGAGCAGAGGCATGTGGCTCTCCTAGGCAACAATGGTATTCTCCCTCTTCTCCCTCTTTTTCGAGGCCTGGAGAATAAAAAGCTTGGGGGAGGCAAGCAGGGGACAGTTGTAGTATATGACCTTCGGGGGCAGTGTGTATGAACATGGCCCTGGAATTGTGCAGGGTTGCAGTCCTGCAGAAGAGGGACAATGTTCCTGACGGGGTGGGGGCAGAGTTCTCTCTCTGCTAGCTCACTGGGCATTCGTTGACGGTCAGATCTGAGTGGTCTGGGCTGGTGGGCAGAGGAGGAAACGAGAGGAACAATAGAAACAGGTGGAAACTGTCTGTGAAGCGGCCCTGCCCTGGGAGACCTGGCTCCAAGTATATCCCCTCAACTGGGGAGAGTCAGAGAGAGGGAAGTGATATCCTGACCCTTGGGTGTTCAGGAACAGCTGTTAGCCCCAGGCCCCATCAGCATTCGGCAGTATTTGGAATAATTGTCCTTTGTCCTCTGAGGCACCACCTTGGCCTATAACCTAGGATCAGCATTTAGAAACTTTCGTGCTCTCATCTTAGGTGCTCTCAAAAGACTAATACACATAGCATTCTACTTTTCATTTTTATATGCAACTATTCAAGCTCATAGTATTTTCACAGGCTTTGAATGAAATTTGGAATCATTACACATTATCGTGGTTAGTGTAGGGTAGGGTCTCTGATGAGTAAGGATTTTCCTGAAAGCCTCCTCTATCCAAAAGAGAATCTGAACTCCCATTATTATTATTATTTTACTGGTTCTGTAAACACCATATGTTTCTGCAGCCTCCTTAACTTCCAGCTTTAGAATTAGCTGCCAAAGAAGTTCCTGTGCTCCACAGGGGAGCTTAGCAAAATTGTCATTGAAAGGAAGAAATCCCACTTGCTTAGTATCAAAAGCTTCTAGTTAAAATAACTCACTAAATATTGAGTAAAATATTACGTAAAATGTACTTGTGGGTATAGTGCGGAAGTATGAAAGAATACTAAAATAACAAAAACATGGACTTTTTCACTGTCTATGAATGTTCTAAATGACAGCCCAGAGTTGCTCAGTAGTATTACTTAACGAGAGCAGGGGCTGAGCATTGGCAAGAGGATGTGCCATCTTTCTGCAGTTCTAATTGTTTTCTCATAAACTTGAGGGCAGCCAGAAGTTCTCTAAATTCACGTGGTAGCTTTGCCACAAGACTGTTCTTCTTTTCCCAAGCCGATTCATGGTTAAGGTGGGGAGGGGATCTCAGGAGAGTGATAGTGGGTCTTCCTGGGAGAATGCAGGGTCTGTTTGTCGAAGGACCGGTAGGACAGCGCTCGGAGTTGGGTTTGCGTGCCACTACATAAAGCTAGGCCCGAGCTGGGGGTGGAGAAAGGATCTTTCCCTTATTAACTGTCTTGGGGACAGTGTGTCGAGTTGAGCTCTGAGACCTGGCTGTGTGCTCCCTTCTAGATGAGGAGTCAAAATTGGGGGTTGCCCAGCTAGGGGGCTGATTATTCCTTAGCCGATTTGTGTGTGTGCATGCCTGTAGTTTTGCTTTATCTCATTGGAGTTTTTGTTTACACACATTCTTCCATCCCCTCCTCACGACAGTTGGGGATGGTGGGAAGGTCAGGGGTTACCGTTTTCCCCACATTAGAACGGAGAAATGGGTTCAGACAGGTATGTGACCTGAATTGTGGGGTTAAATTTTCTGACTGCAAGTCTGGTCCTCATTCCTGGAATTGGACAGGCCTTGAGCTAACCTTTGAACAGTCCTTTTGGTTTTGGGGAGAATCAGGTCTTTGCATTTCCTACACACACACACACACTTTAACCATTGTCCTTAAGTACTGCAACACAGGCCTTTTTATATCTATCTTTTCACTATATGGTATCTCCCCGCCCCTCCCTCACTTCTAGAGGAGAACACAAACTACCAAACAGATGGAAGTTAATAAGGGGAAATAGGTAATAGCCCATCTCTGACTCAAGACCTGAAATTGTAGCTGGGAACTTAACCAAGACCAGAGCAGAAGTGATTATCTTGCAATTCCACATTAGCTTGGAATCAAGTTAATATTTAAATTGATTTTAAAGGAAGTAAAAAAGAATTCTCAGTGCTCCCTTTTTATTGCTAACCTCACATTTGGATTTTCTAAGCCGCCTATTTTTCTATTCTATTCATCTGAGGGAAAACCAGAATCAGTAGTGGTAGTCAATCAAATAGTGTGTTGGGGGCCTTTTGCCTGCACCATTGTCACTGAACGGAAGTGCACGATTTGGGAGAGGAAAGAGGGCGTGGCTTTTTCTGCGCCCAAGTTTGTGGGCGGGGGATACATTGAGGCAAACCAGTTAAAAAAAGCAGTGTGCTCATTGTTTGAGAGAGAAAAAGAGAATGAATGAATCATTTTGGTGATGTGTATGTATGCACGTGTACCCATATCCATACTTTCTGGGCACAACCCAGGGTTACCAGAATGGGGTTCAACGACACATGTTTTGTAAACTATTGCTTCTTTCCTTCTTGGGCACATTTATTTATTTATTTATTATGTCAATAGTGACTACGTTAAAAGTTTGTGCTGTAGTTTCTTTAACCAATACTCTTCTGTGCATGGTGCATTTAGAATGTTTCCAGATGTTTGCTATCCTTATACAATTCGTATGTATGTAATTATCATTTAGGCTAAATTCCTAGGGATGAAATTGAAAACGATATACATTTTGTGTTTACTACATATTGTCAGAGGAATCTCAACAGGAAGTTTATACCAGTTGACATTTTCACCAGCAGAAAGCCTCAAACACCACTGGGCACTGTTGATGCGTTTCATCTTGATTAATCTGATGGGTGAAAAATGATGACTCAGTGTTTTACTTGCATATCTCTATTTTTGCATGTGGATTGGTCATTTGTAATTTTGTCTTGGTGAATTATTTTTTTTCCCAAGTGCTTGTCTTGTCTTTTATTGATATGAAAAGCTCTTTGTATCATAGTAATTTTTTTTTCCTAGCTGTCATATATTTTGTAAACAAATTTTCTAATTTATCATCTCCCTTTTGACCTTGTTTGTGTCAAAAATTGCCACACAAAAACTCTACATTTGGATAGTCAAATTTATCAGTCTTTTCCTAATCTATTTTGCCTTTGGTGCCATGCTTGGAGGGACCTTCCAGTCTCAAGGTAATAAATCTAAATCAGCAGTTTAAAAAAAAAACACATAAGTCTATAATCCATCTGAAATTTATTTTAGTATAAGGAGTGAGGTTCGGGGGGTGGATCTTTTTTTTATTCAGTTGCTAAATGGTTTAGCCAGTTGTCCTATTAATATTCATTGATTTTTTTCCCCCAGTGATTTGAATTATATACTGAATCATATACCAAAGTCTATTTCTGAACGTTCCCCTTTGTTCTACTGATCTATTTCTGTGCCAATACCACCTGCTATAACTTTAAAATAGGGTTTTTCATACCAAGTAAAAGTAAGTTACCACTCTTTCTGTTAATGCTCAGATTATCCTCAGCTTTTATTATATATTTATTCAGGGATACATATTTATTATGCATAAACTAAAGAATTATTTGGTCAGTTTCCCCCCTGAAATCTTAACATTTTTTGGGGGAGGGGGAGAGATGTGTTAAATAATGAGTGCTCCCATCCCACAACATGGTACATATCTCCATTTAATTTTTGTGTGTGTGTCCCTCTCTAGAGTATTCTACTTTTTCAACTTACAGGGTAGTTTATGCTTATTTTTATGTATGTCTAGGTATTTTATATTTTGTTATCCTGGACTCTCGAGTCACTACCTCAGCTCCTGCCCCTGAAAGTGCTCTCTGCTGCCATTACTGTAGCTTTCCTGCCCTGGAAGTCCTAATTACTTTCCAAGGTATCTACTAGACTTGTGGAAACTCACAGATCCTTGCCATGCCAAATGGAGGACTGCCTGCTCTCACAGCTAGCTCCAGCCACAGACTAGTTTTCTTACTCATTTGACCTTTTGTCCTCCCATTAGTGAAAGTGTAGCTCACTCCCAGTGTGGTTCTTACTTTTTTGTCCTGCTGTCTGGCCTGACAGCCTCAGCTTCTTGACCCTTGAGTTTGTTATCCTTGGAATCAGTTACCAGGCCAGTGTGTCTTCCAAAGCTTTAGGGTACACAAGTCAGATTCTCTGAGTGTGGGGCTCCCTTGAAATTTCTCTTTCCAGGCTTGCCCTGAGGAAGGTCCCCCACCCCCACCGCCATTGTGGTGGGGTGGGGGGATAGAAAATGCTCAGCACACCAATGGCTTTCTCCAAAGAACTTCTTTCTTTTGACCTTTTCCATTTAAATCACTTTATATCCTGGATATTGGGCTAAGGGTCTCAAGACTATGGGAAAAACCTCCTTTTAGAATATGGAAGTACTTGCAACCTATTATTTTCAGGGTTTTGGAACTTTGGTCAAAACAAAAAGAACAGTTTGGGGTCAGAGGATATGAAAATATAGCTCACAGAAAAGGAAATGCAAATGGCCCTTAAACATTAAAAAAAAAAAGATGCTCAACCTCACCTTTAAGAAAAATGCCAATTAGTAAGATATTGTTTCTCACCTATCAATCTGAGGGAAATCCAAAAGTTTTAACAACCCACTCTCTTTTGAGGCACTCAAACACTGTTAGTGAGGGTACAGAATGGTACGACCTCTATGGAAAGGAAGAGAACCTGGCAATAGTTGCTTTGCCTTTGTCCCACAACCCTGTCAGTCCCACTTCCTGTGGGCTCACCTGCACACGTTCAGAATGACACAGGAACAGTTATTCACTGTGACATCATTTATCGTCGCAAGAGCTGAGAAACAACCCCATGCCTCTCAGGAGGAAACCAGTTAAATGAACTATGATACTTCCTCATAACACAGTGGAATATCATGCAGTCATGAAAAAGGAATGAGGAAGAACTCTGTGCACTGATACGGAGAGATTTCTAAGATGTATTGTTTGTGTATATGGTATTCTAATGTGTAAGATAGGAGAACGAAAATATGTATTCAATCTTGCATAAACACTGGAATAATAATGAATTAATGCAAATGGTTACAAATAGAGCAAAGGAGAATGGGGTGGGATGGACAGGGTGAACGGGAGTCTTTTGAGTGTTTATCTTCTCATTTTGTTTTGGTTTGAAACATATGAATATATTCAAAAACATAAAAATAAAGTTTCTTAAGAAAAAGTATGCCCTTTCATATTCAGTTACACATGTGTCAAATCAAAACCTGACAGGGACAGCGTGGCTTCCTTCTCAACCTAATCTGAGACACTGAAGATTTGGGTAGGATTGGTTTAACTCCTTATTCCAAAATTGGTAGAGTATCCAGTGCTGTCTTTTACAATTTTTGCAAATTCTATGAGGGAGTAGAGGTGCCTGTGTTATATCCCTAGGATCAAATCTAGGGTGGAGTCTCTGCTTCCTCTGAACTGCTTCAGTGGACGGATCATCTCACCTGTGTGGGGTCCCTGTTCCACCCCCACTGACCCGCCTGTAGAACCTGGCTCCTTTCCATGATTTCCACTCAAAGTCTTACTAAGGACTTTGGGCGTTTAGAGAACATGAAGAGAGAGTGTATCACTTTCCAGTTGATGCTGTAACCAAACTTGGTGGCTTACAACCACACACACATTTATTAACTTACCATTCTGGAAGTCACAAGTCTGTCATGAGTCTCTCTGGGCTGACGTCAACATATGGGCAGAACTGTGATGCTTCTGCAAGCTCCTGGGAGAATACATTTCTTTGCCTTTTCCAGCTCCTAGAGGCTGCCCACATTCTGTAGCTGTGGCCTTTCTTTCATCTTCAAAGCCGACCGTGTTGCATCTTCACATCACTCTCTTGACTCTTGACTGGCTCCCCACCCCCTCTTTCACTTACAAGGATCCTTGTGATTACCTTGGGCCTGCCTGGAAATTCCAGGATAATCTCCCTACCTCAGGTTTCTTTCTTTTTTTTTTTAATTTAAATTTTTTTATTCTTATATTATCCCCATGCATTGCATCATTAGTTTTAGATGTAGTGTTCCATGATTCATTGTTTGTGCATAACACCCAGTGCTCCATGCAGAATGTGCCCTCCTCAATACCCA